TACATAAACATACATAAACATACATACATACATACATACATACATACATACATACATACATACATACATACATACATACATACATTACATGCATACATACATACATTACATACATACCTATACATACATACCTACCTACCTACCTACCTACCTACCTACCTACATACATACATACATACATACATACATACATACATACAGTACATACATGCATACATACATACACACGTACGTACATACATACACACATACATATACATAAGCGTATTGCTTGGTTTACAGCAATATACATATGTGTGTGTGTGCTGTTATTCCTCGTTTACGACCAACCTTTAGCACAGACTTACATATTTACATACTCATATACGCTGTACCTGCGTACTTAAATCGTTACATAGCCACAAACGTACATACATACATATATTCATGCATGCATGCATGCATGCATACATACATGCATACGTACGCATCTGCATATTATGCGCAAGCAAGTAGATGCTGCAAGGAAGGTAGAAACGCAGAGGGACGGATCTTGCTTGAATCATTGTGTATGTATGCATGCATTGATTTATGCATGTATGCATGCATATATCTGCATTTGTACTTAGATACGATGTTCTACTTAGATGTTCATTCGCTGCAGAGGTAGGGCGTGGGGTTCACCAAACCGGGTCATTGCAACCGAGTTGGTGTTCGTGTTGACCTCTCCAAACAGCGAGCCGGCTCTGGGCGTCCCGTAGCCTTCGAAAACTTCCCAAAAAGCTCCCATATCCTGGTTAAGGATCCCTTCTATAGCCTTAGATGAGGGAACATGAATGCCTCAGCTACGGTACGGATCGTGGAATCTCTGGAGCTGCGGATTGTGGAATCTCTGGGTATCATGTGCTGTGGCCTCTAAATCCCCATATACTACGGGGGCTTGGGATCCTTCTCAGGTGGGGTCTGCCAGCCCTGAGCACGTGGCTGTGTAGACTGAGCAGGAGAAGACCCATAGCCACCGGTGTGCTGCCTGTCACAGAACGACGAAAGTCTAGCCAACTCTCCACTGATCTGCTCGGCTCGGGGATCTGCTCGGCTTGGGGAAGATCAGGGTTCAGGAACCCTTAAGCCTGAAGCAACCATGAGGGGAGAAGCATCGGAGTCATGTCGGCGTGGAGCTTAAAGTTTGCGGTCATGTGGAGCTTCTCGAGGGAGCCAAGGTCAAAGTCGCACCCAACCCAACCAAACGCCCTGCTCTCAGATCGACAAGCCTTCAGAGGCATGCTTCACGGCGCCATCCACATCTACGAATCTACGAAGAACAATCAGAATAATTATAGTAACAATACCCAACTGCTATAATAACTGTTGTCATTACAATAGTAGTAAAATACATATTCGAATAGCTAATTTTAAAATATGCTAGTTATACTAATCATTATTGTTCTGAGGCGCTTTGAGGGTTTTGTGTACGGTCGGCCTCTCGGAGGCGTGCGTCGGAGAAGGGCCCCTGAGCGCAGGGTTTAGGGCTAAGGGTTTAGGGCTTAGGGTTTAGGGCTAAGGGTTTAGGGTTTAGGGTTCAGGGCTAAGGGTTTAGGGCTTAGGGTTTAGGGCTAAGGGTTTAGGGTTTAGGGCTGAGGGTTTATGGTTTAGGGCTCGGGATTTAGGGTTTAAGGGTTTAAGGTTTAGAGCTCAGCGTTTAGGGTGTATGGACATCCCTGGACCAGTGTGGCCAGCGAGTCTGAGCAAGTAAGGCAGGTGCATGGTTTGCGGTGGTCGGGACTCTTCCGCAACTGCCTGGCACGTCGTCCCAAACGCCCAAGGCATGCAGGCTGAGGCTCACGGCACACGAATTGCCCGCCTCGAGGGTAGAGGCAAACGCCAAGTTGGCAGTTACGGGACGATGCTGGACAGATCCTGCGACATCACACATGGAGGGCCGTCTTGCTGCGACAAGAATGGAACAATGTGGCAAGGCTGCTGTACGGCGCACCTGCATCAATGGCGGAGTCTGCGCCCAGCAAGAGGATCTTGCACGGCATGAGTCGTGGCGTGACACTTCCCAACCTAGACAGACCTTCGACTTTCAAATCTTCACTACAGCACGACATGAGATAGCTTCATTGATCTTCATCCCTACAGAGTGCAGCCACCTTCATCAATGCGTTCTCCATCTTGCGTAGCGTGACCTGCTGCAAGGCTCCCTGCAGCACTAGAACCCCATGATGCGGGTTAGGGTTAGGGTTAGGGTTTAGGGTTTAGGGTTTAGGGGATAGCATCGGGCATCCCTGTGACAGCTGGAAGTTCGATCCCGCCTTGTCCATCACGTAGAAGGCAACTTCGTCCGCGCCAGCATCTTTCACCTAACAGCACACAGCTTCTAAACCCAAACTCCTAAACCTTCAAGCCATACACCCTAAAGCCTTAAACCCTAAACCCCTAAACCTTAAAACCCTAAATCCATAAACCCTGAAACCCTGACTAAACCCTAAACCCTGAAGCCCAAAGCCCTATAAACCCCTAAACCCTGAAGCCCTATAAACCCCTATAAACCCCTATAAACGCCACACCCCAAAACCCCAAAGCCTAAACCCCTATAAACCCCAAACCCCTAAACCCTAAAGCCTAAACCCCTATAAGCCCCAAACCCCAAAACCCCAAAGCCTAAACCCTGCTGCGAGAAGCGGAGCAGGCCGGCGGGGCCTGAGGGTGCTGTGTGTCATGCAGGAAGCGCCACAAGGCCCGCATCACCTGCAGGTCTTAGGGGTTTAGGGGTTTGGGGGTTTGGGTTTGGGGTTTAGGGCTTGGGGGCTTAGGAGTTTAGGGTTAGGGGTTTAGGGGCTTAGGGTTTAGGGGTTTAGGGGTTTAGGGGTTAGGGGTTTAGGGGTTTAGGGTTCATGGGTTTAGGGTTTAGGGCAGATCCTGCAATGAGACAGTGAGCTGACATACATGCACAGCGGACCGTGAAGGACTCGTATGTTGTTTCACTGCTGCATGAGTGCCTCTGCAAGCCTCGGAACCACACCCTTATTCTGCAACCCTGAAATACTCTGTGTATATTCGTTTGTAACAGCCATCTGAAGCTATCTACCACCAGTGTGACTGTGTCCGTGCGCTTTTGTGTGTCTGGTGCCGAACTGCTACTTTGTTTAGATTTTGCTCCCTGATATATTATTCTAGGTGCATTTGCGTGTTAACCTCTACAATAGATAAATATAGGTACGAGTAAAGATTTATGTATATATATATATATACATATATATCTATATATATATGTATATACACACACGTACATAGCCATCCATGACTGAATTATATATATATATATATATACTGATCAAACCATTACATACATATAGACAAACACACACCAGTTTGTTCGCATGCATGTAGATGCAGGTATGCGTGTGCATATACATGCCATATACGCTTATAAATTAAAATATATACATATATATAACATGTATTTACGTGTGTATGTATATATGTGCATATATATATATATACATATATATATATATATATATGTATATATATATATATATGCATATATATCTATGTATATATATATATACATATATATATATATATACATATATATTTATATATACATATATATATACATATATATATATATACATATATATATATATATACACAGAGGTATGCAACGGGCACCTGCGCCACAAGCTCCGCTCCACCAGGGGGCAGCCGGCCCGTGCGCGTCATGGCCTGCTGAACCTCCGAGGCGATTAGATCAGCTTTGTTTTTGTGTTTTTGTTGGTTTTAAGCTCCCTTTCTGCGAAGCCCAGAGGGTTCCGAGAGGCTCAAAATCAGGGTTTATAGGGTTCAGGATCGTTCAGGGTTTAGGGTTTAGGAGAAGTTTCGGGCGCTTGGGAACGCATTGAGGCTATGTATGTGCATGTAGCCACGTAGATAGGTAGATAGACCGATCGATGTTAGGATTTCGGATTCAGGGCTGAGGATTTAAGGATCAAGGTCTACATGCATCAAAGCGTTGTCACACTTCTGTGGAATTCGTTACCAGAGAGTGGCTGGGTCCAAGGGTAAGAAACATCAAAACCTCATGCATCCCACCGTGGTGGAGCAGTCGTGCAAAGAATTGCAAAAATGGCATGGAACAGTATCCAGTATCTTGAATTGGCCCGAGAACCAAGCCTCGAGATTCAAACTCAACAGCTGCTAATACCTGAACCTGTCAAAGGGTTTAGGGTTTAGGGCTCACGCTCGAAATCCCTTCGAGCAGCGCCGTCAACGAGGCCAGGGTTTCAATGACAGCGGATCATGACTGTCTCCAGAACCCTTGGCCTCTCAACTTCAGGGCGTTGAAGGGTTTAGGTCTCCTGTCTCAAGGATCTGACTCTGGCCGAAAAAATCCGTATAACTCCGAAACATAAGCCCCCAACCCTAAGCCGCCGTGGAGTTCTGAAGCCCCTGATGTAGGAACCAAATCCTGGGTCTTCATTAGGGTTCTTGCTTATTCTTTGAGCACCTATATTTCGGTGTTATAGGGCCCGGGATTCTTGATCAGGTTTGTACAATACCATCCGTCTGTTCGGCTGTACCAAGGAAGCCTGGCTGAGGAGTGCTTCTGGCACTGGCGCTGCAGCTGCCGCCACCAATCCCTGTCGGCAGGCTGGATCGATTTTTTTTTTTTTTTTTTTTT